GCTTGGGGAAGATCGCCCATGGCCCGGTCCACCGCGCAGGGCTGAGGCTCTGAGGCTCTGAGCCATGTAGCCTCACGGACGGGCTTGGCTTCACATGGGTTGGTCATCTGCTCGTGCCGTGACCGACTCAGACTCGACTCAAGAGGCTGCCCGGGGGAAAACGGCCGTCGTCACCGCCGCCGCCGCCGCCGAGGAGTCGCCAGGGGGCACCCAATTCGAGTTCCCGCCAGCTTGGACACGCTTTCCCATCAACGTGGACCTGCATGATGCGACCCAGGGGGGTCAGATGCCAGTTGCGGACTGGACATGGCGTGACATCGGCAGCTCTGATGCTCTTTGTGCCTGCGCCCAATGTAGTTGTGCCATGAACCAAAGCGGCGTCCGTGGCCGTGAGCTGCGGAGCCGCGTGGACGGACCACGAGATTTGGCGCCGTTGCAATGCTTTGCTTTTGTAAAGAAGCCAGGGAGCATCGTGGTCGACCCCTTGGTCGAGCGGTGCTGCGACTGCGGACGAGATTCTCCTTTCCTCGAGCGTGTGTGAATTAGCCCAGCCTGCGGTGCCCATGATGAGCTGCTGCTGCCCCCTGGAACGCTGGATTTATATTTAAGCAGACAAGATGTCACCTCGCGTCAGGGGAACGAGAGAAGGAGACGAGGGAAACTCAAGAGAGCAAGCTAGACACATCGACGACCAGTCAGCCCTTCGGTTGCGTACTATACTATCCGACAGTATCGAGGCGCTGAACAGGAATGCGCTCGTCTGCGTCTGCCACCATCGTCGGTAACTCCTGTGTGAAGCGCGTCGAGTAGACGCCCAGCAGCATGTACAGAGACCTGTTCGTACATGGCAAGTTTTCCGTGCGGCGAGCAGTGCAGCATGCCTGCGTCCTGGCCGTGAGCGTCGGCGGCCTCGTGGCTGCCGGACCCTGTGATATATACGGATCCCACGGCACGCCCTGCATCGCCGCCCACAGCACCACTCGGGCATTGTACGCCAAGTATTCCGAGAGGCTCTATCAGGTGCGGCGCGGCTCAGACCAGGCGACGACGGACATCCTGCCCATCTCCGCCGGCGGCGTGGCCGATTCCGCGCACCAAGACTCCTTCTGCGCCCTCACGACTTGCCTCATCACCGTCATCTACGATCAGTCGGGCCGCGGCAACCATCTCACCCAGGCTCCGGCCGGCGGCGCGGCGCGCGGCCCGGAGCCCGGAGGCTTCGACTCCCTATCCAGCGCCGTCGGCGCCCCGGTCAAGCTGGGCGGCAAAAAGGCGTACGGCGTCTTCATCTCGCCCAGCGACGGCTACCGCAACAACGCGGCCGTGGGCACGGCCTCCGGGGACGAGCCGCAGGGCATATACGCCGTCCTCGACGGCACGCACTACAACGCGGGCTGCTGCTTCGACTACGGCAACGCCGAGAGGGACAACAACGACTCGGGCGACGGCAAGATGGAGACGATATACTTTGGCGACGGCGGCTACAAAGGCTCCGGCAGCGGCCCCTGGATCCAGGCCGACCTCGAGAACGGCCTCATCCCCGGCCCGGCCGAGGCCCGCAACGACGGCAACCCGACGATATCGGCGCGCTTCGTCACGGCCATGGTCAAAGGCAAGCCCAAGTACTTTGCCATCCGCGGCGGCGACGCCTCCTCGGGCGCGCTGTCGACCATCTACAGCGGCGCGCGGCCCAAAAAGTACGAAACCATGTACAAGCAGGGCGCCATCCTCCTCGGCATCGGCGGCGACAACAGCAACAGCGGCCAGGGCACCTTCTACGAGGGCGCCATGACCTCGGGCTACCCGTCCGACGAGGCCGAGGCCGAGGTCCAGGCCGACATTGTCGACAAGGCCAAGTACGCCGTCGCGCCGCTGGCCGGCGGCCCTCTCCTCCGCGCCGGCTCCCGCGTCTCCCTGCGCGCCACGACGCCGTGCTGCACGACGCGCTACGTCGCCCACAGCGGCGCCGCCGTCAGGACCGAGGTCGTCTCGTCCTCCAGCAGCGGCCAGCTCAAGAGGGAGGCCAGCTGGGTCGTGCGCGACGGCCTCGGCTTCAGCGGCTGCGTCTCCTTCGAGTCCGTCGACGCGCCCGGCAGCTTCGTGCGCCTCTCCCCCGAGCGCCGCCTCGCCGTGCACCCGGACGACGGCAGCAAGGGCTTCCGCGAGGAGGCGACCTTTTGCCCCGAGGCCGGCCTCGCAGGCAGGGGCAGCTCACTGCGGTCGTGGAAATACCCTACCCGCTACTGGCGCCACTTCAACAACGACATGTACGGCGCCGGCAATGGCAGCCCTGCGTATTTCGATGCCCATCGGGTTTTTAACGAGGATGTGACGTGGGAGGTCGGCCCTGGCTTCGCTTGAACAGCATGGGGCCGGAGAAGTGGACGTGAAAAAACCACAGACTAGTAGTAGTGCGTTAATTTAATGGTAATGAGACGACCACAGAGCGGGTACAATAGACGATGACTTTTTCGTTGGGAAACGAGACCAAGAGCGTACCACCGCTAGCAGTAGCCTGATGTGTGTGCGACAAGTGAAGTGAAGCCGTCACTGTCACGTCTTCAGGCCAACATGGGGATCCATCTCGACTGACTCGGGCTGTGAATTACAGCGCCGGCTTTATTGGCAGGGTCTTGCCCTCGTATACTCGTACGATGCCGTACACCAGGCGGGGGTTTTCTTTCCGTTTCTCCATGTCGTTCTCTCCCATGATTGTAGGTACCCTGCCTTGGCTGGATGACGCGTGACAAGAAACACGTCCTTTATTTAGGTACACGGAGAATAGTATGCAGCTCTAATCAAAGGGTCGGTCGGACCCGTGGGGTGCCATGCGCAGACGTTTTATCACGGGGCTTCAGGCCGCGAACGCTAGGCGCAATGCTGTCTTCTCAACAACAATGTCATTTGTCAAGCTTAAACTTGAATCACTTGACACAATGG